GGAATATACACTAGCTCTTTTTAATGAAGAAAAAAATAATTCATTTTTAAAAATATAGAAATTAATTAAATTACTAAAGTTTTGATCAAAATTACCAAATTCTATTACTCACTAAAAAATTTTCATGATGTCAAACTTGTTTTACCTTGCTATATTAATACTACATATTTTAAGTTGCTTTCTAAAAATTCAACATATCAAAGAGGGTATGATTATTAATCTTATGAATATGATAGGGTGTCAATATCAAGAATAGATGATTAGTATAATTATAAAGTATTGGGTGTTTCTTTCTTTTTCTGCAAAACAATTATTTGTTATCATATTTTCTAATGATTATTTTGAAACTTTATCCAAGGCATTACAAAAAGAGCATTATTATTTAACAAAGATATTTATTTATTTATATATTTATAATATATGGGGCAATAAAACAAGTATTTGGCTAATTAGCAGACTTATTTTTAATTCCAAATATATAAAAAATATTTAAAATATTTAATATACTATAGTCCTGTAATTGTGAGGGTCAGGATTTTGTAATTTTCTTGATATAAAGAGTCTGGTATCCTAATGCAATTTCTTTTTAAACCTATTATTATATTTAGTTATTTTCAGAATCATTTCTCTCATTTTCAAATCTTTATATTAATGTATATCTAATTGTGAATATCAAGAATTATAGAACTTTAGTTAATATAGCTTGTGGTATCAAAGAGTCTATGCATAGATTATTCAAAAATTTTGTATCACATACAAACAAAAAGAATATTGATCTTGATCTTTTAAAACATTATAACACACTCCAGGTATTATGTTTTTGGCTTGATAGTAGGTGAAATAAACATGTTCCAGAAATAACTTATAATATAAATTGTTCTTTGTTAAAACAATTGCTTTCTAGTTGGTATATTACAGAATCACCTAATCTAATTAATGGTGCAGAAGATGAAGCGAATAGTAATTTTAATTAATTGGGTATATTAGCAAGCAAATTTTTTATATTAAGAAAATTAATTTATTATATCATTATAAATTATACTTAAAGGTGTAATTTATTGCAATGATAATTATTTTATAAAAATTCATACTCAAAAGCCTTGGAGTAATAAGGAGATTTGAGAGAGAGGTTTTAGTGATCAGAATCTTAACAATAACAATAGCAACTTCGATTCAGATTTATATAAAGCTTATTGTGAAGAATTTGAAATATTTGTTGCTTTAAATACATACAAGGTTTTGTTTTTTGAGAATATTAGTTATATTGTTGTAAAGAATGATGATGAATTTTTAACAAAAGATGATAAAGTCAGTTTTTAAATTAAGGTCGAGTTGGGGACGTAGTGGAGTTAAAAGAGATCAGTAATCTTGATAGTATCTTATTTGCATTTGTCATGGCAATTATTATACACCAAGCAAATAATAGCAAGGTTTATGTATTTTTTATTTTTGATTGGTTTAATAACCTGAAAAAAATATATCTAATATTAGAATGTGCACAAGTTTGACTTCAGTATGAAAATAATCTTCAATAGAGATGCATTTTTACTATCTTGATGGTTGACTATCAGCCACACTGTCATTTTTTGTACAAATATAAACAGACTTGTGCCGGTATTTAGTATGATCAAAATAATTAAAATTATCTGCGCAATGATTTTTATTTTAAGATAATTTAAATAAGTTCTTAATTATAAAAACAAGTAAGTATTATTTATTTATTTTGATTCTTTTTGGTTTAAAATATTTCTGTTTATTAATCAAAATTAAAAATTATGTGTAAATACTATATTAAATATCTATCTAGTTTATATTTTCTTAGAGTCGAAATATAGTTGGAAGCTAATATTATACAAGATTTAGAAAATACTATAGTATACTAAAAAGTTACTGATATTAAGAAAATCAAACTTATTTTAATAGCTTACTATATAACTATAATCTTTACTAATAATGATATGCATGCTAGCCAATTGCACAATATTATATAAAAGTAGTTTTACCACTTTTACATAAATAATAATCATGAAGTCCTAACTCTCACATACAACATATAAAGCAAAAAATTATCTGATTGGCTTAATTTTTGAATCTACACATGTTATTCAGTTTTTTTTTATATTTTGTCTGCTACAATACCAACCTTAATTGCTATAATACAGATATATATATCTAAATTATTTTTGAAAAATTGTATTTTCAGCAAATATTTTGTTTTGCTAAATTTTTTATATGAAATCCTTTGAAATAACTATATTATATGATGTACTGTATTTTGATGAAAAGAGTTCAAAAAATTTCAGCAAATATGAAATTTAATTTTGGCCTATGAGAATAATTTCGGCTATCTAAATTCTATAATTATCTTTTTATTAAATAGGCAATTTAGACACCTATGTATAAATACATGTAGAATGTAAAAAGTGAGAAAATCAATACAGATTTAAGTTCAATATTTATTACTTTGCAAAAACTTTGATTTTTGCTAAATATATTTATAATATTGCTATGATACAATATTGCTATAATATAATTACAATATTACTAATATTATTATATGATAAATATATATTAAAAATATTATTACCATATTCTAAAAATATTTTTTTTGTTCTATTAAATCACATATTTATAATATAATTACAATATGTGTTTAATATTAGAAATATCTTTTTATTATCTAATAGTAATATAATAAAATAATATTTTAATAATATAATAATAATCTGTTTAAAATAATTAATAATATTACTAATATATTACCAATATCTAAGCAAATTAATAGTAATTTAAAAGACTAAAAGATATTTTTATTATATTTTTATTATATAATAATTATAAAGTATACATATTTAGCAAAAATCAAAGGTTCTGTAAAGAAGTAGTTGATTTAATAACTAAGGAATTTTTAACTTGTTTGTTTATAGTAAACATCTTGAAAATTGTTTAATTTAAAATATCTAAGTTATCTGAAACACAAATAATATCAATATACACTTAGCAGAAACTTGAATTTTTGCTATTTATAATTATCATATAATAGTTATATAACTATTATATGATAAAAATATGATAAAAATATTTTTTTTTATTTAAAACTTAAACAGTCTCACCAAGAGCTTTTATTAAGTTTTTATTATAACAAAGTTACAATATTAATTCCTTAATTTTTAAGTCTGATATCACTTAATATGTTTAACAAAAAACATTATCACTTGCAATCTGCCAAACTAGTCTGTAAAAAATATACAAAACTAAAGGCTTTGTCAGAAAGCCTAAGCCTTTCTTTAAAACTTTTTACATCTAAATCTTGATAGTATAGCTATCTATATCTACCAAAGAAAGTAAAAAAAAAAACAGAAAATATATAAAAGGAGAAAAAGAAAAGTTAAATAACAAAGAGGAATAGTAAGTGAGAAAAAACTATATAATCTAAATAATAATCTAATATTTAAAAGACAAGATAAAAAAAGCAAAAGAAAAGCCAGACAATCTGATCAGTGAAAAGAAAAGACATAAAAAAAAAGAGAAAAAAAAAAAAAAGTGTCTTTTACACTATTATAACCTGTATAAAGCTTTAAAAAATTATATAACAAATACAACATCTGTATATCTCTACTGTAAAGCTTTGCCTTAACGTATAAATTTTTTTCTGATTACAATATCTTCAGATATTTCTTTAACTGAGGGTCTAGACCCGTGAAGTAGCACTATATCCATTGGTAAACAAAACACGTGGTTGCAATCTACTAGGTTGTCTGAATTTGAAAGAGGTAAAAAATGCTAATCTTTTGACAGAGATAAGCTGTTTTGCCTACTTTTTTCAAAAATTTTGAAAAATAAGCAAGTGGGTAATGGTGTAGAAAATAGCTCTTGTACTCTTTTTAAAGGAGCATATATTTTTTTCAAAAGTAGTAGAATGTAAAGAGCCAAGTTTACTGCTAATTTTCTTGTTGATAGGTAATAAACCCTACTTCTAAATAACAAATACCATCCCCATGATAAGTGATAAGCTCTGAGCCTATTAACAGATAGCATATAAGAACTATCTCTAAATAACAGGTGCTAGTTTAAGGTTTTTATCAGTCTTATGCTTTTTTTTTCTACCATAGTCTACAGTTTTTTCAAAAAAAAAAGTTTGTTGTATTTTTGGTACAAAGGATTATCAGAAAGAGTTAAGTTACTATTAATAATATTTTTATTATATTATTAAATATTAAAATATTAGTAACATTATTTAATTATTTTAAACAAATTGCTATTATATTATTAAAATATTATTAAAATATTACATTATTAGATTGCTATTAGATTGCTGTTAGATAATTACAAGATATTAAATTATACTTATATTATAATTATATTATAAATATATTGTATTAATCATGCTAATAGTGATTTAACAGAATTACAAAATTATATTTAAAGTATTATAATTATACATTTTATACTGTATATGTTTATTATATATTTACTATATTATATTTTTTTTATTAAAATATTTTTATCATATTTTTATCATATAATAATCATAAATAGCAAAAATTCAAGTTTCTGCTAAGCATGTCTTTGTCATTAGCAAGATATGCAAATTATTACATAATCATATTTAAGCTATTTTTCTTAAATTTTTTTATACAATATTATACTTTTTATTTTAATTAAATAGATATTGTCTATTCTCAACTAAATTGAATAAATATACATTAAACAATTAGACCATTAGGCAATTAGACAATAACATTTTTGAATAGACTATAAGCATTCTTAAAAAATCTGATTGGCTAGTTTAATCAAACAAACTAATCAGATTTGTTATTGAGTCTATTGCTTGAAAATACCCTATAACTATTGTTTTAATATAAGAAGCAAAATTTAAATTTAGTAAGCACTAGCTATAACTTTCTACAAATAACTATCTTTATAATAAGTAACCTTTCTTTATTTATACTTTTTATATTTATATATTCTAAGAATGCACTAATCCACTTTTTTTTTTATCAGAGTGAATACATAGTATAAAGAGGAATTTGAGGTGACAGTGTCTCAATTAAAATACAACTAACAATAAAAGTTACTCAAAAAAAAGCATAGAAGGTTTGTTTAAGAATAAAGGAACCTATTGCTACTAGAACTCCTGGGGTTTAATTTTAGATAGTTCTTTATTAATATAATACTTTCTTACTTGTCTCTATCTATCTATTTATTTCAATCTTTTAGTTACATAAAAGCAATAGGTTTTTATATATTGCAATACATATTGGAGCTTTTACTATTATAATTAGATTTTTAAAGCAAAGTAACTATTTAAAGTATTGAAAAATTCTACAAGTACTATCTAGTATTCTTAATAATAGTATTCTCTATGATTAAGATAAAAAATAGAGTTCTTGAATAAGATCTTGGTTACTATACAGTCAACTCTGTATATAATGAACCTTTTTATAACAAACTCTGAATATAACGAACTTAAAATTTTTAAATTTTAATATTAATTCAGTATAACAAGAGCTACGGCTCTTAAGAAAACATAGTAATACTATATAACGAACTTTTTTTTTGGCCAAAACCAAGTGTTTAATATAGAAAAAGTTGACTGTATACAGTGTTAGACAATTCATAATCATTTGGATGACAGAGATGTTGTAACTACTAGCTAGATATATATAATTGAGATAAGTATAAGTATGAGTTATTGAACAATGTTATGCTTAATAGTAAAATCGTTGCTAATTTCAATTTATTGCTTTTATTAAGGTTTTATTAACAAAAAACTTTAACAACATTATTATTTTTATTAGTAAAAAAACTACAAATACAATTATGCAGTATATATATTATAATACAACTAATCATTAATAATGATTATCAGTCTTTTTTTTTTTTTGTATATTTTTTTTTTTTAGCTTTCATATAACCTTAGTAGTGTTGTCACTGTTGGAGTCATCAATATTAAAGATGCCATTAGTGTGACATAGATTACATAGACGTGTTTGTTTCATCGTAGAGATTCATTCATTGCTTTCGTGCTATATCACAGCATTTGTTGATGGATTTGTTGTAATTGGTAACGAGTTGCCACTTTTAATGATATGTATTTTATTACTTGTGTGCTGTGTTAAATCTTGCTTTGTCTATAGTGACATTGTTGAGATAGTTTATATGATTCTAATTTAGAGGCTGTTTCAGAAAATTATGATTTTATTTATTCGTCATTTTTGATCTCTAGTTTGTGAATATATTACTAATACTTGATTTTGTTTTTTTAGAGTGTCTTCAGGCTTTTTTGAAATTGCAGAATTGTAGACATATATCTTGGGAATCCTGGGGAGTAGAATTTTTCATATATTCATTCTTGTTTTTTAACTTGTATTACTAGCACTTGCTCTCTTTTTTAAGCTTTCTTGATGTATTGTATGATTATATTTTTCATTTAAATATATTTCGACTTATTTTTCTAAGGCAGTTCAGCAGTGTAGTATTATAATATATATTTCTGTATTACATATATAATATACAACTAATCATAATAATTATCAGTATTTTTTTTTTTTTAGCTTTTATATAACCTTAGTAGTACTGTCGCTGTTGGAGTCGCTGTTATTGGAGACACTATTAGTATAAATGTAGATTTTGTAAATATATTTGTTTTATTGTAAAAATCTATTTATTGCTTTTGTGCCATGTTACAGTGTTCATTGATGGATTTGTTGTAATCGGTGATGAGTTGCTGCTTTTAATAATATATAATTCAGTACTTGTGTACTATGTTAAATCTTGCTTTGTCTCTTGTAGCATTGTTGAGATAGTTTATATGATTCTAATTTGGAGGCTGTTTCAGAAAAGCATGATTTTGTTTATTTATTATTTTTGTTCTCTAGTTTATAAATGTATTACTAATACTTGACTTTGTTTTTTAGATTATCTCTGAGCTTCTTTAGAATTGCAGAATTGTGGACATATGTCTTGAGAATCCTAGAGAGTAGAATTTTTTATATATTTGTTCTTGTTTTCTGATTTGTAAAAGCGTTACTAATACTTGTTCTCTTTTTAAGCTTTTCTCAATGTATTGTATAATTTCATTTTTTAAACATATTATTAATTAATACTCTTTTTCTTTTTTAGGCTTGTAATGACATCTTTGATGAATAATTGAACATAGATTTCATTTAATTGGTTTTGTTATTCAAGTTTTTAAACCATTACTAACAATTTTTTTTTCAAGTTTTATAAACTGAGCTTTTTTAGAAAATATAATTCTATTCTATTTGCTTGTTGTTCTTCTTTTGTTTTGCATTTAATTAATATTTCTTTTCCCAAGCATTGACTAAGACATTCTATAAACCTTTTGCTCTAATTATTAGTTATATCTCAAGAAGCACAATAAAGTGTATCATTCGTGCTATATAAAATTTTATTTTTGGTCTTTTGTCATATCATAGGTGCCATGCTATGTAAAGTCTCATTTTTTAGTCTTTTGTTGTATTATGGACATCGTGCTGTGTAAAATCCTATTTTTTAGTTTTTCGTCATATCATAAATATTGTCTTGATTCTTTTTGCTATCTTGTATTGACATTTTGATATTATCAATATGAATTTTGCTCTTGTTTTGTCATGATTGTAGTCTTGTTTTAATAGTTAATATAGCTTAGAGTTAGGGTAGATTTGTTAGAGAGTAGGGTTAAAATTTTATAGTTAATTGTTCTGTAGCATAATTAATAATTGTATAACTATTACCACATTATTACATTGTATATATATACTATAAAAATCTGATTATTTTAAAATTCTTTTTTTTTTTTTTTTTTAAGTGAGGTCTTTTTCTCAGTTTTTTTATTATTTATTATGCAGATTTTATATGTAAGTTTACATAATTGTTTTGGGAGAAGTAGGGATAGAGCTACTTTACTCTAGACCTAAACCTTAGCTAGATAAGTCAAAAACCTCTAGTCTACGATTCTAATATTAGTTGGGAGTTTGTATTAAATTTTTTGTATTGTTCAACCCAAAGTATAAATTTGTTACTTGTATAATTTGTTGTTTGGTAAGGGTGGTCTGAATTATTCTCTTGTATATTGCTACTCTGTGAAGTGTGTGAGTAAGTTGCAATTTGACTAGATATCTAGATTTTCTTGTAGATTTCTTTTACAATCATGTGTAGAGTTTGGAAGCTAGGTTTGTTGCTATTTGTTAATGTCTGATCGAAAAGATTGTCTTGTGTTATTACACTGATAAGTATTTGGTTAGTTATATAAGTTTGTCAATAAGCTAGTATAAATTTGTTAATATCTATTATAGTTAAATTCTTTGTATTGCAGAATTGGTTAGTGGTTTCTAGGATAATGTTACGGAGGTTAGTTATATTTTTAGTATAGGTAAGCTAGTGAGTATTATTTTTAGATATGTTTTGGCAACATCTGCAGATAGGGGATCTGTATTTAAATAGATATCATGTGTATAGGTTCAGTAAGTTAGGAAGCTCTTGCATGATTAGTTTGGATTTAAAGTTTTTAATTTTTGATATTGAAGAGTTTGTTAATTATTGTAGCGATTTTTATTGAGTTGAAGGTATTGGAAGGTGAATTGTTATTTAATTTGAGGGTTGTGATGGAGCCAGAATTGGGTTCGATTTTGGTTAAACTATTTTTCTATATTAGTAGCAATATGAATTGTTTTTACTAGGGTTTTTACATAATCAGATGCTAGTATATTATCATATTGGAGAAGATGTATATTGTTAAAAATAGATGAGAGGTTAATTTTAATATTGGTAATGATGTTGGTTGGTTGTATTTTGTACTGTAGTATTGTTTTTGTAGTTTGTACAGAGGGACCTCTCTAAATGCACCCCCTTGGGACCATAGTAAAAAATTTTAAAAATGTGCACTTAGAGAGGGTGTGCATTTATAGAGAGCAAAATATATAATGCTATTATAAGCTGAGACCAGACTAAACTGTGCATTTAAAGAGATTTTACATAGAGGGTGCATTTATAGAGAGTGTATTTAAAGAGGTCTCTCTGTATAGTGATGTATTTTGTTAAGATCGATACCCGAATAGTAATTAGAAGTGGGGAGTTTGGTTGGCAAAGAATATTGTTTGTTGGTTTGGCAATGAGGTTGGTTAATATTGGTATTGCTTTTTGTATAATTGATGAATTGGTGGTAAGTAATATATTTGTATTTGTAGGTACAATTGAAATCAGAGTATATAGTGCTATTAGAGCAATTTTTTGGGGGCTAGGCCAGATTATATTTTGCAATAGTACTTTACAAGTGTGGTGCGTGAATGTTAGTATTGCTGATGGTTTTCTTTGGTTAGAGGTTATTTGAGTAAAGATTGTAATTTTAGCATTAAATCTTTTTTGGTTAAAAAATTGCAGGTATATTTTTCAAATTTTTTCTTTATGGTTGGTAAATGTATGTGATAATTAGTAGAAGTATTGGTGATTGTAGATTATAAATCTGCTTGGGTTATTTGATTTGGTTGATGGGTTGTGAGTTGGGGTTTTGTCTCTAGGTTTTCATGCCAGATGTGTTTTGAATCTACTTGGATTCGGTATGCAGAGTTTTTAGATAATCAGAAGGAGCATTTTGAGTTGTTAGTTGATGAGTTATAGTGTTGACATTGTTAGTAGTAGATAAGTTGGTTAGTGGTAGTATAGATATTCCAGTGTGAGATTTTGTATAGGTTTTCTTTAGTAAATGATATTTTGCCAAAGGTGTTGTTATAGGTTATAATCCATTGGTGGTTTGCAGTAGTGTTGATCTATATATATGGGTTTGGTTATATAAGTATTAGAGATAGAAAGGCTGTTTCTTCTATAGTGTTGGTAATTAAAGTAAACCACTTGAGGCAACATTTTCTTGGTATTTTTTGAATGTTGTGGTGGAAGTTTTGCCAGCTGAGGGTTTTTAAATTGTTGAGATTTGTAAATTGTTTAATATCACTGATTTTGTGCTAGTTGAGCTAGTGCTTTATATATACTTTATTTTTTAGTAAAGAGATGGTTGGGTTAATTGAGTGTCTAGGTGTCTCTAGGGGGGTTGCATGTAGGTTGGATAGGCAGGTAAATTAGATATTGAGTTTGTGAATATTGTTTATAAAATGTGTGGTAAAGGTTTTAAATTCCTTGTATATAAATTGTGGTGGATCAGTTAGAATTGAGAGGTTTGTGTAGATATCATTTTGTAGTTGTTGTAATCGTAGTCAGAATATTAGTATGGGAATTGTTAAATTGAGAAGGTTGTTTATAATTGACATATAATGCGATTGCTGAAGTTGTTTAGGGTAGATTAAGCTATATATTTGAGGGTGGAAGAGAATTGAGTTTGGCATACTTCGGGCAAAGGAAGCTTTTTGTTTGACAATATTAGTACAGCAACATGTGATATGTTAGCAGTTGGTCAATATAAGGTAGTTGTTAGATAATCGGTATTGTAGTCTGGCTATTAGAACAGAATTGATTATGTAGATTGCTTGCTTTTTTGTGATTTTAGTATAACGAAGTTTGTTTAACTTCTGGATAAAGTCCTGTTTGATTTTTTTTAAAGCATGTTTGTTGTCGATGGTGTAGTCAATGAAGGTTTCAAGAAATCTAAATGACTGTTTAGGTAGTAAATTGTATATTGGTTGGTTCTGAAAGATGATAGGTGTTGTATTTTGGTGGTTATTGTAAAATAATATAAATTTGTTAAGGTTGACCATGATCTTTGCTATTTGGTAAAAGGATGATGCTGTTGTGAGTATTTATTATAGGTTATTATGGTTTGATGAAGTTCACATTGTATCATCCATATAGGTAATAATGAATGTTGAGACTGATAGAGATGTGTTGAGTTTGTGTGAACTTGCTGTTAGTATATATTTAGGTAGTTCTGTTGAAATTCATTGTATTAGGGGGTTATAAAAGATATGCTATAGAATAGGAGAGATGATTTCTCTTTGGTCAATGCCAACTTTAACTTTGTAGGATCATGTTTTTCCAAGAGATGTAATAA